AACTTTAAAGAAAAGCTCTTCACTCCCGCATCACCCCATTAATGGCTTGTTTCATAGAAATAACCCTTCAATTTATGTATTTTTTCTCAGTATTGCAGGGAAGTTTTGCCGTGCCTTAAGTGGCACTTTTTGCCAAGTCAGATTGACATTGAGGTTGTTGTTAACATTGTGTGCTTGTCTCTGGTCGCCCCGGAAGAAAAACAACAACATGGAGAGCCTAATGTCTCCTGACATCAGGAGGTCTTCCAAACGGGTCCGGATATCCGTCGTGGTAAGAGCCACCGATCTGGGCCTGGAACTGCCTGTCAACAGGTTCATCAGTCAATCAACTGATTGTCACCCTACCATTCCATCCCAGGGCTAATCCTACATGCCGATGGATGTGATGATGCATGCCATCGTGCTAAAAAAGTGCAGAACATCGTCTTTCTTGTCCAGCCTGTAACTCCATCTGACCTCTCACTGCCTCTAGTCAGTGATATTATTGGCAAAGGCTGCCATCCATTCAGCTTAACCAGTTTCCACTGGTCCGATGGTCAGTTAAGGTTATGCAGAGTACTTGACCACTGAAATCCACTACTGCTGAGTGCTAATGCCAGCGATGCATCATTGGGACCTGTGTGCCATTGTGAACCAAACTGCCTTTTTTAGTTTTTGGATAAAAAGCATGATGTGGTATGCACGACACCACCAAGCATGCACTAGTTAATAGTAAGGGTAATTTAACTGTGCCCAAAAATACTCATAAATTACTCGAATATTTCATTTGAGTTTATTTAGAATTTTATCAAAAACTAATGCAAATCCTCAGATCCTGTGCATCAGATGAAGCCTTTTAATTGTATTAAAATGGAAATTCAATGGCAAAAGAACAGCCTACACCACAATTTCTGCCTGAAATAAAAATTTGAAAAAAATATTAAAAGTTTTAATCCATCCGCTCATTATTTGCTGCTTATCTGGGTTTGGGTTGCATGGAAGTCTAGACTTTCCCCAACCTGGCCCTCTCTCTTTTCTACTTTGTCTGATATAAGTGAAGGGGCTCGGAAGCTCCACCCACCTTCTTTAGCAGAAGATGTTTGCTGAAAAGAAGAGGCAAGGAATTTAAAGTGGCTTGTTTCAGATAGTGGATGAATTGAGGTGCTCCACCAGGCCCCAATATGAGATCAAAAGAATTATTCTGACCCGAGTCCAGAAATTGGAAACAAGCATGTTTGGTCCAGTTTAATAAAACCTGTTTAATGTGATTCATGTTGCAAAATTTATTTGTCATTGTGGATCTAAAGTCTTCTCCACTTTGACATGGTCCAGCTACTGTCTTATTTTATTAAGATGTAGTGAAGCTGTGGTCAAGTATTCTTCAAGGACAATACTGTTCAATCATGCATGCTGTGCTGTCCATCATCAGCCGTGTCACCCAAGGCGTCCAATCAGTGATCGCCTCCCAGAGCAGGCTCTGCCCTGTTTCTGGTGTGACCTAAAATCTGGTGTTATCTTTTGCAGCCGACTTTAAAAGCTCTGGCGGCCCACGTCTTAAGTGTTCAGTGGGGGGGAGGGAAAAGTCGTGCTGTGGCAGACTCACCTGTGCATGCAGCATTAAATATCAGAATAGGAGCATCATATCTCTTCATTAGCATCAGGCACGTTTTAGAATGGCAGCGTTCTTAGAGAAGCTCACGTGAAATGATGATGATGATGCATGAGAAGTATTGGGAAGTACCGGAGATCCAATTACTACAGCATGTCAATCAATGGAGCAAGTGTCTGATTATAAATTGAGAAAAAGGATTTGGCGACGTAGGATCAGTCAGCATTGCATGACAAATGATCAGACATCAGCAGACGACACCAATTTCTGAAAATCAAACACTGTTAAGGTCAATTAATCATGTATTCTGATAGAATAAGTTCACATTTGTTCATTAATTACCATCAATGATTTATTCATAGTCTAGCCTTTGTCACATCAAACTGTCACATTGTTTTTCACTCATCACATGTCGCTTCATTCACTAGGAGCCACCACCCAGCCTAAAGAGTTTCTTTGCGGTGAGCATGTTGTCCACATTCCTTTGAAACATTTTTGGTTAAATGTCTGGTTCAGACTAATATTCAAAAGCAGTATATATAATTTTTCAATCTTTTGATTCGAAACTTCAAATTGTTGTGTTATCATCACAACGTAATCAAGCATACCAAGCGCACTGAAAAAAGAAAATAGAAAAGAGAAGACCACTTTATTTTCACTCATACTTGGCTTGCAAATTTTGAGTCCTGGAGATATTAGTTTGTCTGGGATCTGTAAGACTTTAGTGGAGCACCGAAATGTTTGTTTGTTTGTTTTTTAATTAATAACAGCTGAGCCGAATGACCAATAAAAAAAAATTAGGTTGAGTATTTACTGTAGCTCGGGTGTGCTGAGCTGTAGCCCCTTATCTGTTTGACACACACTGCAGAAAGCAAAGCGGTCAGTGAAGTGACGGGTGGAATTTTACAGGAGCTGACAGTACGGTCATTGCAGTATGCCAAGCAAACAGTCAAATCACAGATTTTCTGCAAGAAAGATATTTCTTTTTGTTTGAAAGGCGTGGCGGCATGTGGGAACAGACTCGTACAAAATAAGCTAACTGTGCCGCACAGAGTCAAACACAGCCCAATGAGAATCTTCTCTTACATGTAGAGAAATATGTGAGTGGCATTAACAGCTGTCCATTCATCTTCTGAAACACACAGGGCTAACACGGAGACAGAAAACCATTTGCCCTTACCTTGAAACATGTTTTCTATATTTTAGATTTTACGGGAAAAAATGCCTTCCGACAATATTAGTCGGTGTTCGTGGACCAAATGATGTTTGAAAGGGATAATAATAATGGATTGGATTTATATAGCGCTTTTCAAGGCACCCAAAGCGCTTTACAATGCCAATATTCATTCACTCTCGCATTCACACACTGGTGGAGGCAGCTACGGTTGTAGCCACAGCTGCCCTGGAGCAGACTGACAGAAGCGAGGCTGCCATATCGCGCCATCAGCCCCTCTGGCCAACACCAGTAGGCTAAAGTGTCTTGCCCAAGGACACAACGACCAGGACAGAGAGCCCGGGGATCGAACCGGCGACCTTCCGGTTACAGATGCGCTTCCCAACCCCCTGAGCTACGGTCGCCCCGTGATGTGATCAAAAATGTATTTTTCTTTTTTTTTCTTTTTAAGCAACTCTAACTCCTCAGGCCTCAGTAACTTTTAAAACTCAACAGAAATGAGTTCAGTGGATAACCAAACAGGTGAAATTAAAATGAAGTGTTACTTTTCACTTCTGAACCAAAATGAAACCTTTTTAAGCACATTTTCAAAAACTGGTCTTTAGAGACTGGCCAGCTGGATTAAGACAAAAATTGTATGTTTTGAGGGGGTTTAGGCTTTGGTTTTGGGTTGACAAGAGGGGAACATAAGGCAAACATCCCTTCATGCTCGGTTACAGTGGTGTTTGATCATGAGACAGAGACCATGTCAGCAGAGAGTATTTGGCATTTCAGATATTAAGGGGGTTCTACTGAAGTGCAGTAGACAAATGACCCTAAAGGAAACTCAAAAGTAAAAGTCCTGACCAAACAACCGTATGTGATGGTTTAGGAGTAAGAGCGTCCTGTGCTTCTGATTCTCAGTCATTATTATTGTGTCCGTATGACTCTATTAGCACTGTTAATGATTTAGACTTGAGGCACTAAAAGGGCCACATTAGTTTCACATGTCAGTGACAATTATTGAAGTGTGTACACATTTTCAATCACTGAAAAGCACAGAACAGTGTCACATCATTTTTCATCTATCGCTTCAGGGGCCATGTGCATAGCCGTGGTGTACAGCTGATGAATTACACTGTGAACAGTTTTGTTGATAAGTAAGGAAACCCACTGGCAGCATTGTGCTTTTAAATTATTCACTTTCCCCATCAAGTTCATCCACTGGCTCTCGAAGGGCTTTTTAGCACAATATCCAGTGTTAATTATTTTTGGTTTTTAACTTTCTAAAAATCTTTCAAAAAACTTTTTTAAATACAGCTCTGTTATGAAATTATTTCTCTTGGCTATGAAGTACCACAAATGCTGTCCCGAAATGCAACATTTTGGTTCCTTAACACATCCATGCTGTGCAGTAACACAGCAGAAGTCAGACTTGCCTTGAGGAACTTAACAAAAAGTGTGAAATTAGTAACAGAGGAGGCATGCTGGGAGTGTTTTTTTTTTCTTTTTCTTTTTTTCATTTGATGGCAAAAAATTTGAACCCCAAGGCGTGTATTTCTCACCATGACACCATGACAATATTTGTGTGGAGCTGCATAGTGGCAAAAGACCACAGAGACTGTAACGCACAGGAGGAGCTTTAGTTTGAGGTGAATTACCAAAATAATTTCTTCAAGTGTAGTAATGGAACAGATTAATCAAAGTGAAATGTGGCCTGTTTCGCACATTTACAGAAGAAGTGTTGCTCATTGTATGCGCCGTTTGTCTTTGAGGCATCAGTTACGCAGCAGCGCATCATGACTGCTCTCTGAATGTTTAAAAAATCCTATCGATCGTTCCAATGGGATGCTGCATTAAGTACCACAAAACAGGAAAACCTTCCAATAGTCATCACTGCTACACACTTATTCTAATTGTAAGGAAATTTAAATCTC